CTGTATTGATATTAATACTTGACACTCGAAAATTTTTTAATTGTGAAGAAATAGCAATTCGAAGCTTCTTTTATGATTTTATAAGCTCAGTGATGCTTCTTTTGATAAAATATGGAAAGAAAATTATGCGTTTGCGTCAGGGATGAATGAGTCGAATTATTTTATTCCAGTATTTCGTGTGTAGTTAGTTTTAATATAAATATTGGCACTTATTCGTCGTTTAAGTTGTGATATTATAAGGAATAGCGACTGAGAGTCGTAAAATATCGAATGACAGTTGCGAACATAATGAATAAAATTATAAGCTGTTATAATAAGGCGTTCGAAGAATGTGATGATACATCGTGGAGAATTTGGCGCCAATAGTGTGGAATGTCTAGGCACGTGTCTGGGTCTTCAGGTTCTCGGGACAATGAGGCATAGACCGGGGCACAAAGGGACCCCGTGGCCTATTGAAAGCGAGGATTGACACTTGCCAGGGTTATTGGATGAAAAATGAACTCATGGGATTCCACCCTGGTGCCAATAAATATAGGAAGACAGGATGTCCTATCTACGAATCTTGTATCCTTTTCTACCTAGTATCCTACTGATCTTCTCGTTCAAAAATAACTAAGTAACTAGCCCAAAGTAACTAGAAATTTACCAACACACTGTCAATTTTTCTTAAAAATCTACTCGATTCCTCCTACCAAGAATGCATTCAAGCCCTAACCAACTGAATAAAAACTAAAGAAAAAAGAAAATTCTCAACTTCAAACGATGGTGATCGATGATCACCTAAGTAGAAGATCTTTCACCAAAAATTTCCTAAGCAATGGTCAATATACCAGAATCCCAGTCACAACTTAAATTTCTCGGTTCGTAGCGAACTTGCAATTGCACCAAAAACTCCCTAGCCAACGCCTACTGTACTTTATACCCCATAACATCGTCAAATAATACTAGATTAACTGGATCTTCGTCAGACTTGGAGGAAAAAGTGCCTAGCCACTGTGAAAGACGAAAATCCTATTTAAATAGGATTTAAAGGCGCAGTCGGTCGTATCAGCCGCATGATGTTGGTAAAAAGGAAAGATTCCGAGGGACGAAAAAGGGAGGTTGGATAGCTTGAGGAAAGAAGAACGAGCAGCGATACAACGAGCAGGATCCGATCGAACTACCGAGTCCCTGCAGCAGTCGGATATCAAAAGGTGTCCTTTATTTCGGCGTGCTTGTCACCGGGTCCCTTTATCGTTTCCACGTCCAACGGGGGACTAACTTTATACTCTGCCACGATATTCTCGTGTTCCATGGCGAAACCGTGCGCCGATAACGCCCGGCTTGGCAAAAATTCACCAGATACGGGCGAATTTATTTTGTCCTCCCCGCGGACGAAAAAGTCGACAGGGCGGAGGGAGATAATGCAAGCAAGGCGAAACGAATTCGGTGGATACTCCAGACGGGATTTCGTTGGTCGGTAGGCTGGAAAGAGAATTTTGATGCGGTGTGAAGAATTAAAAGTGTGTACAGCGAGAGGGAATGAGAAATGGTTGGGTATTAAGGCTGAAGGGTTGATGTCGGGAAGGAAAGATATTACAGTGGAAGCAGTGTGGATAATTACGAGGCCTGGTAGTGGTGTCGGATGGAAGACGGATGTGTATTAAATGATTTTTTCGCTTGTAATTTGGCTGAGGTTTGAATTATAAGGTTCGTAAGTAAATTTATAGCGAGTTTTAAGGGAATCATAACGCGTGCGATGTTATTGGTATAATATGATGCGATTTAAGGTCGATGCACATATGGGGAGAGTAATGTGGTGGTAGCTTTGGTGTACGAATCACTGTTATACGGTTTCACTCTGTACAGAGTAATGCGTTATAATATACGATCTATATTCTGGGTTATTGCAAATGGCTGATTTGCAATTGAATTTATAGGAATTTTCGAATGTTCTAATTTCGCGAAATTATTTTTGAAAATAAATAAATATAATTTTCGAATGTATCAATTCTAATATAATTAATCAATATTTCCTAACGATATTTCCCATGATAATACTCGTACGAAGTAAATTATTGACCTAAAATGCACTTTACAGGGTAATTAGTAACTGACTTTATAGGAATTTTTGTAGGTAATTCTGGTGTAATAAAAAGTGTAATTATTACTAATAAGTATAGTTTCCAAATGCATCGATCAATATCTTTTCAAGTAGTTGAACACACTAGAATATAATTGGAGCTCTCAATCTAAAAAATATACATTCCTGTGTTACATATAATTTAAGAAACCTGAGCATTTATCTTCTCGTGTGTACTTTGTCAGAACAAACAGGACATTGCTTTGATTGCGAACAGGAAATAATCAGTAGAAGTTCTAAAAACCATCCGACATGTATCTAATTACCCAATACTTAAATATTTCACACGATCCGCACAGCAAAATAGGAACATTAACCGTACACGTTATTCGAGATACAGGATTCTCATTGTGCAGATAAAATCAACATATATCACCGTTCCATTCGACATCCTAAATTCCAAGCAAGAACATCAACAAATCATATACTACTCCATGACCAAGCAAACATTAGCAATTATCTCCAAATCTTATTAATTCCTTAGAACTTCCTGCGTTTAATTTTCTTAAACTTTACGACTTCCTGCTATAAAACGCGCAACTTGATTTGCCTTTTAAGGATCAAAATGCCTATTCCGCTTCGTCACTGATTTGTAATTAACCTGTGTACGGGAACTAAAAAATATTATTCCTCTGGAATTACTATAAAGGCTACAATTTATTCCAGGAAAGTGACGATCCATAACGTTTTTGATATTTAAATAAAAATTAAGCTAATCACATACGAAGAGACTTAAGAGAAATCAGCATATTTAAAGCAAACAATTCTTGGATTACAAATGACTTGGATAGTTACCATTCCTGGTACCTAACCCAAAGGAACCATCCTGTGACGACCTAGAATTGAAACAAAAGAGTGCAGTATTTGGTGGAATATTTAAGAAATAAATCATAGAAATGAACCAAAGTTCCAGGATGCATCGATAACTAACTAATAGCTAACAAATACTTGAACCAAGGTACCTTCTCCTCTGCCTCTACCACACCTGGCTCAGCTGAAAAATATCTTCTAGCCGGGCGGAGGAGGAAGATGGAGGGCCGGGGACCACATAGTACGCGCAAAATCCGGCCCCGGTCGGGGGTTCGATAATAAATATGCAAAAAGGAGGAGCCCCGATGCCGTAAATAAAAACGGCGGGTTTGCGTGCTGCGATCTGAGCGCACAACAGCAGAAGAAGAAGAAGAAGACGACAAAGAAGGGGACGAGGAGGAGGCCCGAAATAAAAGGACGAAACCGAATCGAGGAGAGGGCGTACGAGCAGAAAAGAAACGAGGGAACGAACGAAAGGAACGACCAGCCAACGGTACGCAACCGACGTGTCCTGGTAATCTCTTGATTTAGTTCGACTTAGGGCCACGCTACGTGTTCCTCTGGCCACTTTGTCGGCTACCTTCGCGAACGAACGATGAAGATACGGGAAACGACCGGCGGATGTACCCCAAGTGTGGAATCATCGAACCTCGCGATATCGAGCTGACGTCTCTATTTATAGAAGCTTCCAGCAGGGCTGCGTGAATTTGGAAGCCACGATTCCGCTTCGCTGGCTGGCTGCGATTTTTTCGCCAGGGGATAAGAAGACCTGGGAGAAAGAAGAATCGTGGAGAGTGAATGGTCCAAGATATAAAGTTCCAGAGAGTGATTTTGGGGAAATCGTTGAGATTTGTAATTTTAGGAATTACGATAGATACACCAGTTTATTTTTGGAGTGCTGGTTTGCTTCAGTAGAAGGTTTCAGTGAGATGTAGAAAATAATTATACTTGGGGGGTGAGAATAGGAATTGGGGGTATATTTGCAAGATGATAGGTTCTATATTGTTTCCTTCTTCAGACTTGCAGAATTTCAGACTTCAACCAATGTCAAACTTTTCACTAACTTGCAAGCAGTCATGCATTAATCAACTGGAATTAATGAAGAGTCGTGGAGAGTGGATGGTTTGACATATAAAGTTCAGTCCAGAGAGTGATTTTTAGGAAAATCGTTGAGATTTGTAATTTTAGGAATTATAATAGGTATACCAGTTTATTTTTGGAGTGCTGGTTTGCTTCAGTAGAAGGTTTCAATGAGATGTAGAAAATAATTATACTTGGGGGTGAGAATAGGAATTGGAAGTGTATTTGCAAGATGATATATTCTATATTGTATCCTTCTTCAGAATTTCAGAATTTCAGAATTTCAGACTTCAACCAATGTCAACCTTTCCATTAACTTGCAAGCAATTATGCATTAATCAACTGAAATTATTGAAGAATCGTGGAGAGTGGATGGTCCAAGATATAAAGTCCCAGAGAGTGATTTTGGAAAAATCGTTGAGATTTGTAATTTTAGGAATTACAATAGATACACCAGTTTATTTTTGGAGTGCTGATTTGCTTCAGTAGAAGGTTTCAATGAAGTGTAAAAATTAATTATACTTGGGGGTGAGAATAGGAATTGGGGGTACGTTCTATATTGTATCCTTCTTCTTTCTGAAATATTACCCTAGGATTTGCTGTCTTAAAAAGGAAGGGTCTTTCAATCTCAGACTTCAATCAATGTCAACCTTTCCACTAACTTGCAAGCAGTCATGCATTAATCAAACTGAAATTATTGAAAAAGAGAAAATGTTAATTTACCTAATAAAATGAAATAAAAATAGAGAGGTAAGATAGGATACAAAGAACACGAGATACGATTTCAATAGTTCAATCAAAACAAATGATTCCCTGATTTTATCCCGTTACTCCATTTCGACATCGAATCTCGACCGAAAACAGCGATATAACGAGAAAGAGATGATCGATCGGTGCCTGATATCGATCGAACGGATCTATAGATCATCTATATAGTCGTTTAACGAGCAAACGGAGTAGCCTGAAGGGATAGATGTTCGCTACTCACCTGCACTCGCTGCCGATGACGATCCTGCTTCCGCTGCCGCCTCTCCAGCTCCTCTTTTCTCTCGATCAGCGACCTTATCTCGACCGTGGCCACGGGCACGTTGCTATCGTCAGGTACGTCTGTGCACGAGGGTAATCTCCTCAGGGTGGAAACAGGCTCATCCTCACCCTCGCTGTAACTTTCCACTAGAAGCTCGGAGTCGCTCTGGAAGCAAATCAAGAATTCCGTTTGAATTCATTATAGCGAATGAGCATGGGAATAGGGGGACTGAAACTAATTTTCTCCGAGAATTACTTTGTTTCAACATGCCTTTTCTTCGCTTTTATTGGATTTTTAATAGGAGATTATCTTTTTCTAAGGAGATTACTTTTTCGAAGGTGATGGAGCGTTTGAAATAACTTTTAATTGGTTTATGTCTCCCTAAATGATGCGAGGATGATGGCTGTAGCTGTGAGGTTTGGATCTTTTCCCCTTTCTAGAATGTTATGATACTACTCTGTCCTCTAGTTTGAAGTATATCAAATAAGAAGCAGACACTAAATCTTCATAGTAGGTTTCCTCAGCAAATTTAGTTACTTTAGCAATCACTCAATGACTTAATTCTCACATAAAATAACGTTTATGGATAACATGAAATTGTAACATGGAATGAATAAAATATCAAACCCTTCGTCGTCCCAAACGTATCTCACATCCAACTGTATTCCCTTCCAGATCACCCAGCACCTCCCCGTATCGATATTCGATAACGAGTAGTCAATTCTCTCAAAACCTATTTTACTGTAACGATATCACCAAACAGCAACCCCTCCGCTTCAGCAAATCCATCCCCCATCCTTCGATTTACGTAAACGACGCGTTAATCCCCTTTCATCAAAATTCCATCTGCCCTGACCCCCTCCAAACACGAAGGCTCAAATGAATAATTCAGAAAGAGGGAGAAGAATAAGGATCGTTGTCATCGTCCTTAAACAAAATTCTTCCTTCGGCGACCGACGACGTGGTGGATCTCTAAAACACGTGGCGTGTTTAATACACTCTTCCAGGGCTAGTTAGTTACCTGTTCCGGTGGTGAACTCGGTGTACTCGTGCTCGAGGTCTCCACCACGGAGACGTACTCGCTGACGCCAGTCTCGCTCTTCTGCAACTTCAATACAGGCGTCTCGAGGCCGCACAGGAACACTTGGCCGAAGAACAGAATCTTGTTTATCCTGAGGCACACTTGAGCGACTTCCTGGAATACGACATGAGCCGGGACTTAGAACGGATAGAGAAGAGAACCGGAGAACGCGAGAGGCTCTTTTGAAATTTCAATCACGAGTCGAATGAGGATCGATCTATGTTCGAAGTTTGTAATAAATGAGTTTCGGGTCGTAATACGATACTTGGGTGTGGTTTGATCGAAACGGTAGCCTTGGTATTCTGTCATGAGTTATTAAGGTAATAAATAATTTCATTTGTTCCCCTGATTTTCCTTGCAACGAGTAACTGCAGATTTTCTTGAATTCTTCTCGTTTCTTTTTGTTTGATGGGGCAAAGAATAATATAAAAGCAATATTTAAACAGCCTAAAAAATTTTGTAAGGATATAATTAATTTCAAATTGCTGTAAATATATCTACAAATATATTTGTTCTTGTAATTACTTACCATGTCTTCGTTTTTCTCGGCATAACAAGGATCCTGAGGATTCGACATCAACGGCGTGAATCCTGCCAAAGTCATATCTTCCGGCAGCTTCACCAGTTCAAGCTCTATAACAAACATTGAATAGAAACTCTCGATTAAATTGCAAATATACCACTAAAGGTCGCTAAAAATCCCACGTGAATTTCTCATTTAAAACATAACCTCAATCTGTCGCGTACCCTGTTGTAGGAACAGTATGAACTTACAAAAGTCGCTAAAAATATGCATAAGCGAAGTTAACCATTAAAGTACCGTAGAAATGACAGCATAAACGTGAATGGTATCTCGATTAAACATTCCTTGTATTTTTAAAATAAGAAAAAGAGATCGAGTGCTTTTCGCCGTATAAGATACTAAAAATGTATATTCCGATCTTAATGTATCTCGAGAATACATCGTTGAGGTTATCAATACTTCTAAAGTTACGTAAAGATTACTTCCGCTTCGATGTCTTGACTCGAACAAATTCAGCTTTCATAAGTGATCAAGGCTCCTCTTGCACACATCACTTTTGTTTAAAAAACCGAAATACTAACGCGAATCATTCACCGTACATAGAACGGTAAACAAAACTCATATCGAATAAAGATAGAAAACATTAGCCGTCCTAACCTCAAACGTCGAAAGACCATGCGTATCTTCAATCTCCTCGAAACATCGTCACAGATAATACCTTGCATTAGCTTGTTTCAAATACCAATACCGCCGCATCAGTTACCATTAAAAGAAATCTAACCTAACAACCAGGATTGCCACTCGTCGGTCACGTTCCACGTTCCGCCAAAAATGCGGCTACTCGAAAACTCGGCAGCACGCGGTACAGTTAGACGCTGAACCCCTGTGTATGAGAGTATTACGATTACCAGCAGTCGCGGCGCAACGTCAGTACCGTTGCGAGAAACTTACGATATAAATATCGAAATAAATAGTTACGGCGCAGATATTGCAGCACGGTTTTACCGAAAATTATGCCGCTGGATCGAAGCGACAGATAATGACGAGTCCAGCCTGTTATCATGCAAATATCGAGCGGGTGCACTGGCGATAAACATTCAGTAACAACTACCGGGGAGTGGCAGGGCGTTCCGGTTGGTTCCGTGCTCGGACGAACGTGGCTGAAGAATATTCAACCTGTCGGATGACACTGCTTCGCGTACGATCGATGCACTCCTTCCAGTTACATTGTTACACGCATACTTCGCGTCATTGATCGTCGATAATAGAACGATTTAACGACGGGAGAAGAACCTGCCTCGAGACTGTTGAAACAAGTATGTAATCGTCCGTGTATGTGCAGGATGATACTTCGAAGACAATGATTTTTCGCCTTGCACGACCACGAAAATTACGGTAGTCCTTGTATAATGAGGTTAAGAATAAAACGATCGACGCGACTCTCTTTCTCTTTTTCCCCCCCGTGATGCAACGCGACCCTACGGAGAAAAAGTGAAGCTCCCAGTACGCGTGTCTGCGTAGGTAAGTAGGGAAAAAAGGCGGATACGTTGGATTAGCGCGTCTTCCTTTGATCCTTTCGCTCTCGTGCTCGGTGAATTTAATTAAAGCGTAGCTTTAAAATGTCGAATATATATTCTTTTCATTTCTCATTTCCTTCTTATTTTTCCTGTAACCATGGTTAACAAAATTTAAACAAATATTATTCTTATAACCCTCAAATTATATTTATAATGATAAATAAATTAATATGTAATATAATTCGAAATTAGACACGTCGTAGTACAAATTTGGATCGACATATAATATTCAAAAATCATGTCAATTTCTAGCATGACGAACTCGTGTCTGTGACAGGCTTCATTTTCCACTAACTCTAAGTGACTTGTTAATTAACAGATATATGCAACCGTCATGTAACACAGTTAATTAGGAACAATCAAAATTATATTATACTAAATTTAATAATTCAAACAAATGTAACTGTCGTATTTCATCGGATTATTTATGGAAATCATTCGATTGAAACTTTATTATTTAATCGCTTAAATTATCGAAATATTCGCTGCATATATATATATATCCTTAACAAAATAACGAAATTCTATAACACAGCTTAACAGAACTTTGCAGAATTCAAACTGATTATCCTCACTGAGTACCTTCATAACCTCTCCGCCACTCCCGTCAAATCAAACTCCCAGCTTTAATCCTCCAAGATTCCAATATGCTCTATATCTAGCTATCTAAAATTTCGATATCTAATATACCAACGTCTAGAAACTCACCGAATCCATTATCCCTTCTATTGCAACAATGTTCCGAATCTGATAAGCCAGTCGTGCCATCGGATCCCTAGACTCGCGTTCGACACCGCAGACCAAGCGACGCTGTTGCGTCTGGTGGATTTCGAATGCAACGTGCCAGCGGCCATTAATATTCGCCCGAGCGCAGCTTGAATCGCTTTACACGGTCAGGCCGCATTTATCGCGAATATTACACGAAGTTCATGGTCATCGTGGCCGAGGAACTCGCACGGAACGTGAGGAGGATCGAGTTAGGAGGATCAGCGTGGCAGGCCTCGCAATCGATCATCCGGGGACCCCGCGCGAGGTAGATTAAAGCCCGCGCTCGTCCCGGCCTGGTGCAAGGAAATATAGAAACCTAATCGCGCACGCGAAATAGAGAGCGTGCTCGCCTTGTTAATGCGAATTCCGAATAGGTGTCGTGGCAGTCGCGATCACGCGAAACCCGTATCGCTCGCCGCGCTAACGAAGCGAGGGTACTCTACGATCGTACACGAAAGTGTTCGAACGTTACATTTGCTACTTCCAACGAGTGACATGTATGTGTTAAATCGAGTTGTTTGAAATAACACATTACACTGTAAACCGCCACATAAACAGAACAAGAAGTATAATATTAATAGAAAATAAAACACAGAATTCTAGTATTGAAATATGTAAGGTTAAAACGAAGGCACTGATATTATCGAAATAAAAACATAACCCTTTCTCTATCATGATACGAAATTCTAACCTTAATTTCTACCAAACACCCAAATTAGAATCCCGATTTTCCCCATCCTACCAAACATCACGTTCACACGAAAGTCTCTCATGGAAACGATAATCATTACGAACATGACGCGGCATAACCTCTTTTCTCCCGCGAAAAAGCATTTTAGACACCGTCGCGAGAACCGATCTCCTCGTAGCTGTTCGAAGACCGAGCATCGTCCAGCGAGAGAAGAAACAAGAAAGGGAAAAAAAACTCGTGGAACAGGGGAGGGGGGAGGAAAAAAGAAGAGGAAAAGAGAGGAAGAAACATCTTCGACGATCTTCACAATAACATTCTTTCTCGGGTCCGGTGGGCACGTTCGCAACGCGTTGGCCCGCCCGACGCGGCAGCCATCCTTCCACTCTTGTACCTTTTGTCCAATTTATCCATTGTGCCTCGGGTGTAACGCGCGGGTAAATCGAGGAGAGAGAAACGGGACGCGGAGATACCGGGTGGACAACGAGGAAGGATAGAG